ATAGTGAAGAAGACTGCAGAGGCACCAGATGCCTGCCATGCTTCAGCGCTGTATGTGGGTCAAATATTTCTTGCGTGATTTGGGGTTAGTCGTCATAGCAGAGAGAGACAGACACGGGCCACAGTGATCTTAATGAGGTCAATTAAACCTAAAGCAAAAGAGCTGGGCTTATTTTACTCTATTAACCTGGTCTCGTATGCTAATACCATTTGCTGCTTTGATATGGTAATGATTCAGTGCGAAGCTAGTGAATAACACACACTCTGCTCATCAGGTCATTCAGAATGAAACATTTTCACACACACTTTCAAAATGTTTTTTTTCTTCTTCTTCTTCCTCCACAGGCATTAGTGTATGTGTCCGAATCCTAAAACATTGTAACGTGGTATAATGTGAAAATAACCATATTTCTATGCTGCTGTATAAAATTTATTGTTATGATATTTTGCTGAATAATTCATTCATTTTCTTGTCAGCATAGTCTCTTTATTAATCCGTGGTCGCCACATCGGAATGACCCACCAACTTATCCAGCACGTTTTTAAGTCTCCAAGTTTTTACGTCTCTAAGTTTGCCCAAAGAATGTAATTATTATAGTATGTCCCAACAAAATTACATGGGATTACCATGGTACAACAACTAAAAAAGACTGCCTTATTTAACTTACTATTACTTCTTAATTCATATTTTTGTTATTAATTAATTGCTACTAATAATTAAAAACATTTACTAATTAAATAGTTAGTTATTGTTATTCCACAAATGTTGTGATTATTATATGCAATCATGCAAAATGGACTGCTTTTAGTATGGTAAGCACATATAACAAGTAACCAGAACACTGTAAAAATAAAGCAATTAAATTATGTTTATGTTTATACTATGATTATACTACATGATTGTACTATGGCAATATACACACTAGAGACAAAGTATTAGTATGCATGCTCCCAAAAATAATGCTACAATAGTACATTTAAAAAGATGGTATCATAATAGAACTGGCATTAGTCCATTTGTCTAAAACATAAAACATACTATAACCATGATATATTGTGTAATGACAATAAACAATGTTATTAAAAAAGAACAATATAAAACACGTTATTATCAACACTTCTTAAAAAACACGTTACGTCTAAAAAGAAGCATTACCAAAATGAGTTTATTGCTATTTAATATTAGCAAACTTTAAAAAGACAATGCATTACAATACATGTGCCAAATGCCAAAAACGAACGGAAGATTCCACTGTGTTTTGATGTGTTAGTGTTAATTGTACATTTAAATATACGGTTGAAGTCAGAATTATTAGCCCCCCTGAATTATTAGCACCCCTGTTTATTTTTTCCCCAATTTCTGTTTAACGAAGAGAAGATTATTTCAACTCATTTCTAAACTTAATAGTTTTATTAACTCATTTCTATTAACTGATTTCTTTTATATTATTAGTCATGATGACAGTAAATAATATTTTACTAGATAATTTTCAAGACACTTCTATACAGAATAAAATTACATTTAAAGGCTTAACTAGATTAATTAAGGTAACTATACAGGTTAAGATAATTAGGCAAGTTATTGTATAATGATGGTTTGTTCTGCAGACTATCAGGAAAAAATATTGCTTAAAGGGGCTAATAATTTTGTCCTTAAAATGGCTTTTAAAAAATTAATAACTGCTTTTATTTTTGCCGAAATAAAACAAATAAGATTTTTTCCAGAAGAAAAAATATTATCAGACATACTGTGAAAATTTCCTTGCGCTGTTAAACATCATTTGGAAAATATTTAAAAAAAGAAAAATAAAATCAAAGGCGGGCTAATAATTCTGACTTCAACTGTATATTATTTATAACCCATGTATTTTCTCTTACATTTACATTTACATTTAGTCATTTAGCAGACGCTTTTATCCAAATAAATTAATATTGTAATCTTCTGAGTAAAATTAGGGTTTGCTTTAGGTTTACTACATGTAATGATGTAAACAAAAGTACATATATTGTAAAAAGAAAACTATGAAAAATATGTGTTACTGAAAGCAAAATACAATATATGCATATGACAGACGAAATGCATGATAGCAATACATGTATTACAGAGGTTCTAGTCCAAAAAACAAGCAAATATGTTTTTACTATGAGGCACTATTTTTCTGAAGTACCTGCAAAAAAATGCTTCAATATTACAAAAAAAAATTATTAAATAAATTATTACTTCCTACTATGTTCAAAAATGTAGTTCAGCATATATTCTGGTTTAAAAACAATAAATTCATTCATTCATTCATTCATTCATTCATTCATTTATTTATTTTCCTTCGGCTTAGTCTCTATTTCAGACATCGCCAAAGTGGAATAAACCGCCAAGTATTCCACATACTGTATGTTTTACACAGCAGATGCCTTCCAGCCGCAACCCAGTACTGGGAAACATCCATACACACTCATTCACACACACACACACACACTCATACACTACAGACAATTTAGTTTATTCAATTCACCTATAGCACATGTCTTTGTGAAACTGGAGCACCCGGAGGAAACCCACAAGAACACAGCGGGAACATGCAAACTCCCCAAAGAAATGCCAACTGGTGCAGTCGGGACTCGACCTAGTGACCTTCTTGCTGTGAAGCGACAGTGCTAAGCACTGAGCCATTGTGCCACTCCAAAAATAAACAAACAAACAAATAAACAACAACATGGAATTACTATGGCATTACGTCCAGAAAAATAGCATTAGCATGGTACATTCCAAAAATTACAATAGAGCTTTTAGCAATGGCCATTTACTATGGAACTATGTCCAGAAAAAATGTATTGACTAAATAAATGAATTAATAAATAAAATAAATAACTGTTATTACAATATATCTTAAAACTAACATTGTAATGCTTTAAGCAATACATGATATATGAAAAACACATATAATGATGCATTATCTAAAAACATAGTATTAGTGCAAACAAACAGACATGCTATTGCCATGGTACAACTTCTGAAAGCTCAATATTAGCAAAATATCCCTTAAAGATGTTTTATTATTTCCATGGTGGAAAATTATAAAAATACATGGTATTGTCTCAGCACTTTGTATACTACATGTACTATTAGCAAAAACTAAAAGAACAAAAACAAACAACCATAGCATTACAATAGCACTGCCAATAAATATAGCTAAATATGAGTAAAAAAAGTAAGCGCCAGCAAGAGAATACCCCGCACCAACCCCCACATTTTTTTTATATTTTAAATGAAGAAAATAAACATGCGTTATGGATGTGACCAAAAAAGTATGCACAATTACAGTATATCATTTACTTTGTAGAAATTCTGTGAGTTAAACTCCACAACCCAAAATAAATACTGCTACTCAAAAGTAGAAGAGTTGGCTCTCTATAGGACTAAAATGTTTTTAGTTTTTTTTTAATAATTGTAGCATTTAAGAGAAGAAACCTTGATTATGCATGTAACAGATGTGAAATTGCCACTTGTGTGACTTTGGTAAATCAAATATAACTGTTTAAAAACATTGACAGAGACATTTTAGAGTATTTTTAAAGCACTGTAAAATACATGCTTACATACAAAAAAAACTTTTAAACAGTTTCAGTATTTTGATAAAACCTTACTTTTTTCATAGCAAGGTTGACATTTGCATGGAATTAAAGGATAAACAAACATGGTACTTCTAAACAAAAACAAAAAACAAAGCATATATACAAGAAAAACAAACAAACATGATTTTACCACAAATAAAAACATGGTTATTGTAGTTAAACCACAAATGAACCATGGATGTGCTACACAGGTCATAGCATAAAGGGATTTAAACAATTATTAAAAAATACAATTTTCATATTTGACTTTCTTTCTACTGTTAAACACAAAGGAAGATATGTTGGAAAGCTGTAATCACTGACCTTCATAGAATTAGTTTTTACTAAGCATGTCAGTGGTTACAGGTTTTTAGCATTCTTCAAAATATCTTCTTTTGTGTTCAACAAAAAAACAAAGGTTTGAATTAAAGCACACGAGGATGAGTAAATATTGAGTACATTTTGGGTGAACAATCCTTTTAACCATTGTATTTATAACTGGTTATATAAACAAACCATGGTTAATTTACACAGGGGGGTATAAGAATAAAGGAATCAATTTAAATGCACAAACAGAGGTCATGCGTTGAGATTTGTTTGAGAAACAAGCTGCAGCGTTTAGAGCGGCGTGTGTGTGTGTGTGTCTGTGTGTGCAAAACAAACATACATAAACACAATTAGCCTCGTATAAGGTCAAGTATATTACAGCAACCGCAACAGCAAATGTAGTTGCGGCGACTAAAATAGGCCACCTGAGCTCAGTTCATGGAAAGCAACACAATGCAGTTAACGCAATATAAGGGCCGGTCGTTATAGCAACAGGTAACCGTGAAGCATCATCTGTCCCTGAGCATCATTAATTCCCATTGACCATGAACAACACGCAGACACTGCGCTCGGTGAAATAAATCTCACCTACCGGGGTTTGTTTTTCCTCCATCTGTCTGTCTCCAAATCAACAGTTAAATTGGGCACAGCCAGCATCATTCCATACAGCATCAATCGGCTCGCCTGTTTCAATGCAGCGCGACAGTGATGCCACAAATAATTGCGAATAATTGAGCGCTTTGCGCTGATGGATCGGGCCCTGATAAACGAATCCCATCACAGAAGTGAGGGTGACACGACAGGACACGAGCCACCGAAGTGCATCAGCGGCCCCGAGACTGTCCGATTGATTGACGAGCAGATCATGTTCATAAACAACAGTGTGACAGCAACAGCGCGTTTGTTTCCTGGCAACAGGCTGATAATATTCGCGCATTGTACCTACGTGACGGCCTATTGCGATCCAAACAACACCAGAACAACAAGCACATGCGTTATTACAGTCGCCAAAATCACAACCACCGATGAAGTCGATGCGCATTTGGCCACTGAAGCCTCACGTACCTTTAGATTTAGTTGGGGTAAAGCTGTCAAAAGCATTGCACATGGATACAGCATTAGCGTCGGGTCTGAGGAGAAGAATCGCGTCGCCGTCTTCGGCCGTGAATAACAGACACCAGCTTTTCTTCAGCATTAGAGACAGGGGTAGAAATGAGTGCTGTTAACCCACCAAACGCATCGTCCCCACCACACCGAGTCTCTCCGACAGCGTCATCCCACCTGTAATGCGGCTCTCTTAAAGACACACGAGTCTCTTTCACACGTACAGAGTCGACGAGCAGTGAGTGCTACTTACTATGGCAGGCCGCTATATCATTTATAGCCTAGGCTACTAAAGGGGAAGAGGGAGGTGTCCGGGTATGCCAGTTTTCACAATCTGTAGCCTAGCATTCAGAGATCAAAATACCATGATAATGCTTGTTAACAATATTTCAAATAACTTTGGATGTACATTAATAAAATTCTAGCAGTGTTTCTAGACTAAATATGTAGGAAACATTTTCGACCCCAAATCAGAAAAAGTTGGAAAACACACACAAAAAAAGAAAGTATTTCTAAATTTACCTTTAGGGGAGAGCGTGGCACAACGTAACCCCTTATGGTTTTGACCAAATACTGAATAAAGTAATGGGGTTAGACAAACCCTATTAAAAAATAACGTCATTAAAATAACGTCATTTCCAATTCAGTTTCTAATGATATCATTTCTTTTTCAAGGAAACAGTTGCTTTAGAACTACTAATGTTTTTCATAAATATGGGAACATTAAAGGGTTGCTAAATCTCCAACACTATTATTTAAAACATCACAATGTCCTTTCATGCAATATCTGAATATATTCTGTACAAAATTCTTTATAGATATCCTGTCCTTTGTAACAGTGGTCACACAGAAAATAAAAATAATATATGTACACTTAAGTAACCCAAACAGTATTATATGTCTTAACATTCATTCATTCATTCATTCATTCATTTTCTTGTCGGCTTAGTCCCTTTATTAATCCATAGTCGCCACAGCGGAACGAACCGCCAACTTATACAGCAAGTTTTTACGCAGTGGATGCCCTTCCAGCCACAACCCATTTCTGGGAAACATCCACACACATATTTACACACACACTCACACACTACGGACAATTTAGCCTACCTAATTCACCAGTACCACATGTCTTTGGACTGTGGGGAAAACCGGAGCACCCGGAGGAATCCCACGCGAAGGCAAGGAGAACATGCAAACTCCACACAAAAACCCCAACTGAGCCAAGGTTCCAGCGACCCAGCGACCTTCTTGCTGTGAGGCAACAGCACTACCTACTGCGCCACTGCCTCGCCCCTTGTCTTAACACTAAAATTTTTTAAAAATACTCAGGTGAGGTTCGAATTCGTGTCGGCAACATCATAAAACAACGTGCTGACATCTGGACCACAATATTACTATAACCTATTACTTTTTATTGATGGCTTAATCTTTTTATATATATTTTAATGAAAATATATGTGAAATACTGATTAATCTGGCCACAGTTCATGTTTTCCACTGTGTGATGGTCCATCTCAGATGCCTCTGAGCCCAGAGAAGTCGACCGTGCTTCTGGACACTGTTAACATAGGGCTACCATTTTGTGTGGAAGTAACTTTTTATTGTGGTACTTGACAAAGGTTTACCAAAGTAGTCCTGAGCCCATGTGGTAATATTGCTTATAGATGAATGACGATTCTTAATGCAGTGCCGCCTGAGGGATGGGAGATCATGGTTGTTCAGCTCAGGCTTGTGCCCTGTTATGTACTGTTAAAGGGGAAATATCCAAATTCCTTTCCTATCGTTCTGTGAGAAACACTGTTTTTAAACATTTTATTAACTTTCTAAAGTATTTGTTGGCAGGATTAGACCTTTCTTGGATGTTTCAAATCGCATCATTATTTAACTCATTTACTAGCCCTAGATTGCTCCTGTCCCAACTTTTTTTAAATGTGTTGCAAAACCAAAATTGTAATGTTTGTTTAAAAAAAAAAAAACATGAGCAACACATTAATTAATGTGCTGTTGTATCTTCTGCAATGAAATACAGATCAAAGTACATTTAGAAATCACTACTCTCTTTTTTATTAGCGTTTTCCATACTGCCCCAATGTTTTCTGATCTGGGGTTGTAAATATATTTAGATCATTTAAATTTAATATTACTGCTAGAACGTGAAGAGACTTAACCAGCACAACAAAAAATGTTTCTGAAGACAATCCCCTATTGCACCTTTAAAGGCTGTTGGTGGCTCTAGTGTTAAAGACCTAGGGCCTCATGTACAAAGACTTGTGTTGAATTAATACTAAAACATTGCGTACAGACAAAGCTGTAAATGTGCGTAGGCAGTAAAAAAATCAAATCTATGAAACACTACGTACGCAGTTTCAATTGTGGGCGACAATTTACTTTCTGGGAGTAGTATCCATGTCTGTGGGAGAGACAGATGTATAAGAGGAAGACTTTGTTAGGGGGGTATGGCAGCACCCCTCTGCTCTTATCAAGGCAGCGCCACCGGCATTTCAGCTGCCCAATCGCCCGCTCTACAACTGACCGAGTGCCTTCCACCTTGGAGCCTCATCCCAACCATGCTGTTTGTCAGGATGAATGAATCATGGTTTGACCAAGGCCACCTTGCTACAATATTTGTTAAGCGCATTTGAGCATCACATATTATTTGCACATTTATTGAATGGAATTTCCGATTCACATATGCAAATTTGTCTTCAGATGGCGCCTTTATAGCAATGTGTCCATCTCTCCGATTACATTGGTAAAACCAGCGATCGCTGCAAATTCCACTTTAATGTCTGGCTGGTCAACTGCATTGTATGGAAACCTTATTTACCTGCTAGACATGCGGATGATCCTGTCCCATACAGCTGGCATTGCATGGCTCAGACACTTTGTAGTGTGCAATTTAACACAACATCTGTAGAATGGTAGAAGCAAATAAAATACATTTAAGCAAATTGTAATTTGAAATATGAGGTTTATATTTCAGTAGCAGTAAAATTGATTCCAACAACAAAACAATTATAGTTTTCACTAGACTACATATATATATATATATATATATATATATATATATATATATATATATATATATATATATATATATATATATATATATATATATATATATAACAATATTATAAGCTAAGCAGAAAAATGGAAGTTAGAACCTTTGTAAGGATTAGATTCTGTCTAGTTGAGCAACTTGCTTTTTAATTTTGGAGTCAAAGTCTAACATTGACAAAAATGTTTGAACAGATTGCCTTCATCAATGACAAGCAGAGCGAATGACCTTGGGTAGAGCCTAAAGAGATGTATCAAGGCAAGAAATCTAACAGCCTTGTTAGGTCCCACATGAAATCTCATGACTGGGCTTTAAGCACATTCATGTGATGTGACTTTTCAGAGAAATGCTTGCGAGCCAACCGATAATCCACCTTAATCCTCAAAACACCGATATAAACGGTTTAATTTCTGTCAAAGGAGCAAAAGCTTCACAACACTGCTGTGCTTAATGAATTTAGCTTAAAC